CCTCCAATTTCTTTTTGAAAAAAAATAGGGCATTTCAGATTACTTGTCAAGGCTTGGTGCAATTTATATGTATCAAGTCAGGGGACCAAGCGCTGCATTGTCAACGTGGTTGGGGAAGAAGAAAAGCCTGGGGAGAGATGTAGCAGTACGTTTGCATTTCCACTACTTCCTTCCTTTTTTTTTTCCTGCCTCCCTTCCTCCCTGCTCACTCTCACTTTCTGCCTCGCCTTGATCCGGGTGCTACACCTAGCACCGAATGGAGGGCCCTTAGTGGTGGGGGGAGGAGGGGTGATCATTTCGCTCATATGCTAATCTTCGGGGGGTCTGCTTTTTTTGCTATCCTACGTTTGTTATAGGCACATGTGGTCGTTAGTCCGATAACTCTCTTCAACAACCCTTCAAACAGCCAGTACATGCTTGCATATAATAATACAAACGGAATACCCACTCCATCTTTCGGAACCTTCCCCTCCAATGCAATTTTCCTCCTTCCCACCCTCCCTCCTAAACCCTGGGCGACTAAGGATGTGCAATCGCCTCACTCGAGCATTCGAGCACGTTTTTTTAAGGCGGAAAAAGGCTGTTGTTCCAGCGACATTTTCTACTCGTTAGATTTGGGGGGCGGGATTTCAATTGGGTATCTCCGCTTTATCGGATTGGTTGGGGGTTACTTCTTGTGATATGGCGATCAAGGCCCGTGCCCTCGGTGGTTGGTTTGGCCCGGTTGGGGATCTTTTTGATTTGATTTTTTTTTGGAAGGGGGGGGGGGGGGGTTCAGCATGTCAGCCAGCCACAGCATGTAAGGAGGGTTTGTTATTATTATTATCGTTGTTTCTCTTGTTGGCCAAGGTCCCTTCTTTCATTTGGGAATTTCACGACCTTTTAGTGAGCATTTTGTCCTCCGATCCTGAAAAACTGGGGTTATATTGCTATGGTTTTGGTTACAATGGTGACTCGGCCAATGGGGTCTACGGCCCTGAGGGGTTGATCCATCTTTACCTCGGGTGGCGATGCTATCGCCCCATTCAACTAGAGCCTGCGGTCCTGAATACAGATGAGGAGTTTTTGAAAGGCCCTACACCGGGTGCTGGGGTGGGGGGGAAAGGGGGAATTGCATTAAGGGTTCGCGGGTTGGGAGGTTAGATGATTGGTTGGTGGGACCTGGCATGAGGGAGATGAAGGAGGGAGAAAACTCGAGTACAGGTATCATAATGCGCTACGCCGTGCCGGTTTCCAGACTGATGCGCGGGAGGGCGCTGGGGAGGAACACGAAGTTCAGGTATTCACATGTGAATTCAACTATTTAGTGTGAAGTCGGTGAACCACCTTAACTTAGCTTTAACCTCCTAGTAGGTGGACCGCTTGAAAAGGCGATCCAGACTTCATTCTCCACTGTACCAACCCATGCTAGTACAGTGCAGTAGCATCACTTGATACGTCTAACCAACCTCTTTGCACACTTACGGAAGTGATAGGGCCCTCGCAATCCATATCCACTCCCCTGGTCAGCATTCAATTTCCTCGTGCTCGAGCACATCATCCTCCACTCCACCATCACCCATCATGACCAACTATTGCACTTGCCTTCAGCTGCCTACCTAACTGAACCAGCATCCCAAAGCCCAAAGCAGATGTTCACATCATTTGAAATCCAACCCATAAACCCCTTCCCCGGGTCAATCACTAATCCGGCAAGACCTTCCACCAACCCACCCACCTCGAAACAAATAACCATCGCGCAGTCGAGACATACAGTATCATACCGTGGGTTAAGTAAGAGTAAGTCAACTAAGTGCTCAGACAGTGAGAAACGCCCACCGATCATATCATACCAAATCAGAACCAAACCCCCGGGAAACTTACTGCGGCGGCGGCGGGGGAAGGGGGTGGGGGGTGGCGGGGCAAACAATCAGTAAGAGCCAATAATAATCCTTTCTCCCTCCCCCCCCCTCCCTTATCCCTTCTCAGGTCTATCATACTACCCTGTACCGCCGCTAGCGCACAAGAAGAAAAAAACGTGCGCGACGGACGGACGAACCCAACAACATCAAAATCAAAAAACCAACTTGGCATTCTAAATGTATCCTTTTTCCTCCAAGATGTGATAGGATGTGCCCATACCGGGTTATCGTGAGTGTCCCGGAGGAAGTGAAAAGAAAAAAAAAAAGTAAATATCGCACTCCCCACCAAGGTACAATACTGATACTTCGTACTCGTACAGTATATATAAAAAAAAATGGTAATAATATTTCCAGAGGAAGTTACCTCATATCATACAACCCCCACACCCACCACGCCGCTGCGCGCAGCCTGCCTCTATCCTTCTCTCCTTCCTTCCTTCCCTCCTTCCCTCCCTCCCTCCCTCCCTCCCTCCCTCAAGTTTTATTTTTATTTTTCTTTATTTTTACTTCCCTATCCCAATCTCAAATACGAGAATGAAGTTAGTTGGCTTTGAAGCAGGGCCCCTCCCCCGCCCCCAGGGGTACCACACTACCTATCATACCCAAGTACAGTCAGGTCAGGTCCAACTACAATGGCACGCCAAGCCGAATACACAAATTCTCACTCGAACTGAACCACAGTTTGATTACATGTTCGAGTTCTTACCTTATGTCATGCCATGTCACGACACGACTACGCCACGAAAAAAAAAAAGAGAGCCAGGAACGGAAAAATGGTTGTTTTTACTTGTAACGGTTTGGTGTGTATGTCTCACTGGTTGGTATGTACTGTACGGTACGAGTACGGTACAGTATTGTACAGGTAAAACGCGGGGGAGGCGGTGGGAATTGGAAGGGGGTGGGGGGGGGGGGATTCTGTCTCGGCGAACAAAGAAAAAAAATGAAAAAAATCAATAGGAAATACTGTAGAAAATACTCTAGAAAGAAACTCTTTCATAATTTAGAATTTAGAATTTTCTCAGTATGTTCCTATTCTGTGCAGTTCAGTACAGTTACTTGCACTTGTACCGTACTTTATAAATCTCCATGACCAATCATACCGTACACTACCAGGTTTACAATAGTTATGTAGTTGACATCAAACCAAATTAACTAATCGGGACCACGCAGGAACATTTTTTCCTTTACGTTTATTTTTATTCTTATTTACGCCAAGAAATGAGGCGAAAAAACGGTTTTCTTTCTTCTTGTCGGGTGTGCGTACTGTATGTATATATGTACTCGTAGGGATGTATGTACACTTGTGTGTAGACTTATATTGCTGCTGCTTTGTTGGGTTAGTACGATTACCGGTACTGTACTGTACTGTTCAAGTACCGGTATATTCCCTCTGACCGCTCCCTCTGTGCCTCGCGGTAAGCTGAGGCTGGAATGTCATGTTTGCGGGACTGTGCCTTCAATGTCTGATACACCCGAGTACGGTACCGGTAGCGGCACTGTGCTACTACTGGTTACGGTACCGGAGCGGTTGGTGGCTATGAGTAGAATCCTCCCGTATTTGTGTGTGTGTGTGCGTGTGTGTGGGTGTGTGCGTGTTGTACTCAGATTACTGGCATCTCATGCGACTTTTTTATTCGATGGAAAAAAGGAAACATCCGGGTTAAAGCGCTTCAGTGACGTGGCGGGTTCTATGGGACAAAGAGGCAAGTTTTGCTTTTTTTATTACCGGAGGGGGTAAAAGGTTTATTTGATTTCCTTTTTCTTTTTCTTTTTCTTTTTCTTTTTCTTTTTTGCCTTGGCCTCCGTAGGCCACCTATTACCGTTTTTATTTTTCTACCCTTTCTTACCTTCCCTGCATGTCAGGATCTATATGAGTAAAAGGATTAAGCACTCGTATGATATGCTGACAATTGATTGTTAAGTATTACACCATCTTCAAGTCCCCGTACCCTTTTTCTCTCTTTCCGATGATACAAGAGTAGTACACTGCGTATCTTGGTCGCCGACTAGTTTCCATGCGAGGTTTGTTCATGCTGCTATAATCTTTCTTCTTGGGTTCATCATATCACACCTTGAGGCCCTCGGCCAGCGCTATAGCCGACACACGTGCCGGCCCCGGTTAGCAGCAGTTGCAAGGCGAAACGAATTAGCCCGGGTTACAAAAGACCAAAGGAAAGGGTCTGGGGTATGATGCTAGCAATGGTATTCCGGTTCTATCGCTGGTGGTATGATATAATATCCCAGTGGCGATGTTAACCCTACCTTGTACTGGCCCTTGGAGCCTCGGAACTGCTGGTTCTGGAATCGTTTAGGAATGCTCCACTGCCCTGTTAGTTGTGGTGGGGCGCCTAAGGCACCCGACTTCTGGTAGGGGGAGGGTTTCAGAGAGTTGTTCAGATGGGAGTATTGGGCGGGGGGGCGAAGAGTGGCGGACGTCCCCTTGCCATGGAAACACCTTCCCTCTAACTACGGTAACTTTCTAGCTCTTGGAGGTTCGGCTCGTGATTCTTGTGAAGGTCTTAATGATTCACCGGGAGGCGTCCCCGGGAACGGGAGCCGGGAGATAGGAATGCGTTGGTGGGAATATCACAATGAGGCTTTTTTTCCACGGGGCGACGACCCGAGCCCTCATCAGCCCATAATCACAGGCTATTGCAGGGCTTTTGATGCAACAGAGTGATAAGCTGTGATCTGACAGGAAGACAGACCTGTTGCGTGAGGTGGGTCATTCCAATCGACGAAATATTTCACGAGTACAAAGTTATACCTTCCGCCCCCTTCTTCGATAAAAGGGCTGAGACAGATAGCGAGAATCGTCTAGCCTTGCACATCTCCCGGGGACGCCTTTTAAAAGTTTAGGCTCGCTTGGCGCAATGCATCAAGGTAGGGCGGAACCAGGCGTGGGATGCAGGTACGGTACCGATCCTCTGGAACCGGGAGTTGCGGGTTCCTATCGAGGAACTTTTCCCTGTTGTCTGAAGAAGCATGATCTATCGGCGCCAAAAACCGCGGCATTACGAATTCGGTAGTTGGGCGAGATGCCCTCCGGAAGGTGAAAGGTGGAAAAAATAAGATAATACAAGAAAATGGAAGGGTGAACCCGGTTCCTGAGATGGCGGGGTGGGGGGACATTGTTGGACATAGCTGGAAAAGAAGAAGGAAAGCAGGACCTCTGGCAAGGAAGGACGGGGAATAGAGGCTAAGTGCAATCGCTAAAGCACATCAGGTTTCACCCGTCAATATGGAGGAGCGCCGGCAGTTTAGGGTAGGGAATCA